CTTAGTCATGTCTGCCTCTATTTCTTAGTTCCCTCTCCTGGTCACCTGTACTCTTGTTTTCAACACTTGGTGGGCATGGCTCTGGGCCAGAGCAAGGGTGAGGCGGCTGCTTTAACCTCCCTGCTGGTGTCTTCATTTTCTGCACAGCCTCTCAGAACCTCAGAGCTAGAAAAGGACTCCGAGAATGGCTATCCAGGGCGCCCTTCCTATCTGTGTGTCCTAAGATGATTGATGGCTGGATGCAGGGACCTTTATTCTCCCACCCTCCCCACCGCACCCCTCCCCCTGCCCTCTCTCCCCACCAGCTCTCAGTCCAATGCCTCTGCCCAGAGAAGTTACTTAATAAAAGTGGGTTGAAGGCGACTGAAGTGACTACACCCCTTCCCAGGGCATCCCCATGCCTCTAGGCACATCCTGGCCACCCCATGCTTCCCTGCTCTGATCCATCCTTCCCAAACCCACTGGCCTTCCCCTTCTCAAGTAGAGCAGCCACCCCCTCAGCCTGGAATCAAGTCTGCAAGGCTGAGCTCTACACCGTCCTGCCAACCTCGTCTCGCAGAACCTGCCTCCAGAACTTTCTGCCTGTGCCCAGAAGCCTCCTCACTGGCCTCTAGGCCTTTGTGTTTCAGAACCACAGAGCTAGAAAGGATCTTGAAACCCACTGGGGGAAGAGGCCCCGGGAGGGGGCTGGCCCCCAAGAGCCACACAGCAGTCCCACAGAGCTGAGACGAGGGTCCCTGCGGGAAGCACGTGATCCCCCCCTGCAGCCCCGCTCTCTGACTGAGACACGGTGACACTGATGTCCAACCACCCAGCTTTGCAAAAAAGCTTGCTCAGGGTTGAGAGCGACTGGGGGAAAAACCTCAAACCAAAAGTATCAATTTTCACCACGTGAAAAGCAGCTGAGAGCAATGACTCCTCCTGGAACATTTGACTCTGACATGTGTGTATGATCCAGGGCCCTGAGCCCCTGAGCAGGGGAGGCCGCTGGGGAGGGCGGGGGCTCCCCGTGCGCCAAGACTCCTTTCAACCACAGGGAAAGGCTGTTTCGAATCATAGGCTCCAAGAAATGATGACTCATAGGCACCAAATCTTAGAAATAGTGGGTCTTAGACATGAAACTTCTCCAAATTCCTCTGCCCTTGGCTTCCAGGACATCAGCTTTCCTGGTTCTCCTCCTGCTCCAGCAGCTCTGCACCATCCTCCAGGGTGGCTGTGGGCAGAGACTCACCCGGGCCTCGACACCTCGTGTTTGGCCATTTCCCCCATTTCAGTGCCTCAAACCCCACTGGGGCTTCAGGCCCTGGTGCAACAGATGTCCCCGCCTCCCACGTATGCAACCAGCAAGCACTCAGCGCCTCTGCTGTGTGGGTCTGCTCTAGGCTCCAGGATACAGCAGGATGGTTTTTAAACAACTGGCCCTCCCGGAGCATACTTTATTCCAGTAAGAGAGACAGAAATACACCTTTAGGGTAATGTCAGGCACTAAGACCGGCTATGAAGAGAGAGAGGCTGGGAGGGCCCTCTGCAGAGGTGTAAACGGAGCAAGAGAAGGACTATCCTGACAGAGGCAGCAAGGAGGCTGAGGTGCTGAGATAGGATCCTAAGGACATTCCAAGGACTGTATGGAGGTCAGCATGCTGGAGCCAGGAGAGAGTTGGAGTGAAGGTCAGAGGCCCAACCTGTACGTGGTGGGGTGGATCATGATGGGCCCATAGGCCACAGTGAACACTGTGGATTTTGTCAACCTGTGACAGGTTGTGAGCAGGTTTATAAAGGATCCATCTGGCTGTTGCGCTGAGAACAGACTGTAGGGAAGCAGAGAGAAAGCAGGTGACCATACTGGACCCTCAAGAGAGAGGTGATGGTGGTCTGTGCGAAGGTGGAAGAGGCAGAGGGACAAAAGGCATAAGGTTTAAGATATTACAGAGCTGACAGAATTTGCTGAAAGACTGGATGCAGAACATGAGAGAAAAAGAGACACCAGACTAAGATGGGAGGACTGAGGAAAGGACAGATTATGGGGAAAATCAAGTGTTGAGCTTCAGATGTGCTCATTTTGAGATGCCTTTAGACAAGTGCATGGAAGAATCTGGAGTGCAGGTGAGAGGTTTCTGCTGGAAACAAAATTTGGCAGTGTCAGTGTACAGAAAGTGTACAACACCATCGTACTGATGGAATCACCAGGCAAGTAAAGGTAGCTACAGCAGACCTTGCCTGGAACTCTTGACCCTGTGGGTGAGAACCACACAGCAGGAGCAAAACTGCAGGTACTTTTGTGATCCTTTGTTCATCACATATCTCAAAGGATTAAAAGAACCTGGAGAATGGGGAAGATGGAGGGAGTGGTCACTTGGTTGTACTAATGGCCCTTATTCATTGATGCCTCGTCACGCCTGGATACCCAAGTGGCTGAGTGGTAAAGAATCTGCCTGTCAGTGCAGGATGATGTAAGAGACATGGGTTTGATCCCTGGATTGGGAAGATCCCCTGGAGTAGGAAATGGCAACGTACTCCAGTATTCTTGCTGGAAAATTCCATAGACAGAGGAGCCTGGCGGGAGGGCTACAGTCCATGGGGTGACAAAGAGTCAGACAGGGCACAACAACTTTTTTGCCTTGTCACATTGCTATCCCTTCCCACCCTAAGTCATGGCCACATGACTCTTCTTGGCTGATAGGATGTTAGTGGACTCAGCAAAAGTAGAGACTTACAAAAACACTGACATATTTCTGTTTCCCTCTCTTGTTCCTCTATCTTCCTCATAAGAACATGCCCAGACTAGCTCTCCCTTGGAACCCCATCACCACCATGAAATAAATCCAGGCTGGCCTGCAGGAAGATGAGAGAACATGAGGAGCACAGCTAGATCTAAGCCAAGATCATCCTGTAGCAGCTCTTCCCCAGTGGAGCGGCCAGCTGCCTGCAGACACATGAGCCAGCTCAGCTGAGCTCAGTCCAAGTCAGCGGGAACTTCCATCTGACCTGTAGACATGTGGTGGTTGTTTTAAGGCACTAGGTCTTTGGATGATTTGTCACACAGCAACAGCTAACTGATACAGAGGGCAAGGGTTACTCGGGAGAAAGAGAAAGGGAGAGAGAGGGATTGTATGCTGGGCATCTACCCCCATAGGGGACGAGAGGACTGCTTCTCCTTCACTTTAAGTCAAGAGAACTACTTAAAGACCTTGGCTGTGTCCTCTAGGATCTGCGGCGTGTAGGACCTGGTACCTGACTCATGTCCAAAGGACCTGGGAAAGGCCTGCATATCCACAAAAGATGTGTGTGTGTGTGTGTGTGTGTGTGTGTGTGTGTGTGTTCCACAGGCCAATATGAACTTTGCAGAAGAGACTATGCCTAAGAGGATCACTGGAGTGAGTGGTGGTAAGGTGTGCCCAGACACCAGAGGTCAGGGCTGAGGAAGGCATCCTGAGCAGCCAAATGGTGCAGGGAGTGTCTGAGTCAAGGGGATAACAGGTGAGAGATACCAGTGATAGGAGGGGCACCAAAGAGCCCACAAAGGCTCCTCTGAAGAAATACAATCAGGGAGCACCTACCCCAGCTCACTCCACTTCCAGTGAAGGAGGACTTTGCTAGCCATTCCTCTCCCTCTCTGCTGTGCAGCCCCAGAGCTAACAACAGGGAAGTAGATGGAGCAAGAAAGAAGGAAAAGCCTGCTATGACCTTCTTCCTCACTCCGATTTCCATGTCTGAATCAGCAAAAGGTTAGGACAGGATCTGTTTTAAATGTAATGAGTTTAGAGTTTAACTGTTAGGTTGGACTAGATTTCTTACGAGTTTTCTTTTTTCTTTTTTGGTTGTGCAGTGTGTCTCGTGGGATCTTATTTCCCCAGCCGGGGATGGAAACTGCATTGGCGGTGGGGAGTCTTAACCACTGGACCTCCAGGCAAGTCCTGGACTGGATTTCTTATATCTGAAATTGGCAAGAAAATGGGAGGGACCAGAAGTCCACAGAGCACATTTAATGGGACACCCTGTTGAGCCCAATTAACTGTTTCCAATGTGGTGCTTCCCTGGGTTTAGTCCCAGCCCTTCTCTCCATACCCACACTGTCCTGGGAGACACCTTTGCCATCGGGGTCTTCTTAAGGCCTCTATCTGCTCTTCTCCCAACCTCCATCTCTGGCTCAGACTCCCCACAGGATTCAAATCCAGCAGCCAACCACCAGGTGACACCTCCCCCAGGATATCCACACCTGCTCCACACTGTCCTCTGGCCTGGTGACCACGCTGCTGCCCACTCAGGTGCCCAGGCCAGACACCTTCATGCCTTTGAAATCAGCAGCCCCACCTCCTCCACTTCTCCCCTCATCTCGCCGTCTCCTGCTGATTTTACCTCCCCCGTGGCCTTCAGTCTGCCTTCCTCCCCGGGGCCCATTGCTACCACCCTGGCCCCATCCCTTCCTCTGTCTTCCTCTCTGGCTGTGCACCCCCAATCCTATCCACCAGCACTCTGGCAGACAGAGTAAGCCTTCTGAATTGGATCATGGCACTCCTATGTCTAAAACCCATTTCCTGTGGCCTTTAGGGTAAAGTTTCCTAAAATTTAGGTTCCCAATGCTTTTCATGGTCTGGCCCCAACTGACTTCTCCAGCAATGACTGTCCACTTCCCCCTTTACACCTCAGGACCCAGAATGGCCCGTGACTTCTCCCTACAACACTGCACCCAGCTCAGGACTTCTGTGCAACTGTTGCCTTCCTGATGAATGTCCTTACTGCATCCGCTTTGCCCGCCTGCTCATCCCGTCCTGATGGGGGTGGACAGTTCAGTGTGAGCCCGTGGGGAGCACGGGGTGGAGGGGGCAGAGTGTGGCCTCTGTGGCTGACCCTTTGTGACCACGAGCGATCAAGAGAAGACCCTGAGCACCTGTCCCCACCCCTCTCCCGCTCCTTGGGTGACAGGCAGGGCTGGGCTTGTGGAGTCAGCAGCCCCACCCAGGTGTGGCATTCCCAAGTAGGGTGCTGGCCGCGGGGGTTACCGAATGAGGTCCAGCAGGGGGTCGGCTGAGCTCATGATGGGCTTCCCACTCTGCTCGGTTGTCTCCTTCTGGGCTGCGCCGCCCGGATGGATGATGGAGACCATGATGATGCCCACGATGACCGCCACGAAGGTGGTCCACAGGTAGTACGCCACGGTGAGGATGCCCAGGCGGCTGGAGGTCTTGGCATCCAGGGAGGCGAGGCCGGACATCAAGCTGGGAGAGCGGTGGGTGTCAGCGTCTGTGGGTGGGCAGGCCAAGCACTCAGGTGCACCCACTCTCACCCGCTCCTTGCTCTGCCCGGCACCCTCGCAGAGCTCCTGGGAATGAGCAGGCATGGGGATCCTCCCACCCCTAATCCCCTGGCTCCATCGAGCCCCACTCTGCTCTTGTCCCCTTGCCCGGCGTCATCAGCCAAGCCCATTCACACTTCTAGACCTTTCCACATGTTCTTTCTTTTCTGTCCTCTTAGCAGCTCCCTTCAGTTGCCCAACCCCTACCCAGCAGATGAGACCAAGCTCAGTGCCACCTCTTGAGTGAAATCTCTTTGGACTGCCTGCCTCTCCCCCAGAGTTAGGACCCCATGGGAAGAGTCCCCACAACTCCTGGGCTCCTCTCTCATGACCCTGGTTGTCACTGTCTGTCTCTCTCATCAGACTGAGGACGTCTGAGCAGAGGGGCAGGTCTGTGTGTCCTTCATGCCCAGCATGAGTTTTCGGTGCTGCTGCAGGCAGGTGGTTAATGCAGGCTTTTGAATGAACTCATGCCTGAGACTGAATGAGGGAGTGAGTTAGAGCCGCGGGCTGGGAGTTGGCGATCCTGCTCTGTGACCCAGGCGTCCATCTTTGGACGTCAGGAGCTGCATCTATAAAATGGAGCATGGTTAGATTTTCCCTGAGAGGTGCCACCCTGTGGCCGGCCCAGACTCTCCATGTGGGAGGTTGTGAGAAGGGTCTTGAGGGTCTCCTTCCTCTTGGCTCCTCCCCACCTCTGCCTGCCACCCACCAGAGCAAGTCAACCCTGGAGCTATTCTTCTCATGGCTGTTGGGGCGGGGAGGGGGGATGTTGGGGGTGTGCATGAGGGGGTTGAGGGTGTGGGGGGAGCAAGTGAGGTCAGTTAAGGAGATGCTTGCACTTTGCTTTGCTGCCAAAAGGATTTTTCCCCAAAGCCCTTTCATTCTTTCAGATAAAGGAAGTATTTGTCTGTTTTTAATCATGTAAACAAGAGCAGATAATCCCTTCCCATCCACCTCCTCTTATCGTTAGACTGCAGCAAGCATCATCTAGCATCAGAGCTGAGCACAGAAAGCCTCTCCCCCACCCCTGGCTGTAACTGCTGCCTGTGAGCACCCTGCTCTTGCTGTAGCAAAGGCCCACTCCTCTTTAAGACACAGTTTAAAGGTCTCCTCCTCCAGGAAGCCTTCCCTGACCATCAGACAGGGGTAATACCCCTTTGCTGGGATGCCACTATCCCTGTGCTGTCCCAATCCCACCTCACTAAGCTGTTGACTGTTTACTGAAAGCGCCTCCAGGGCTGAGCCTGGGTCTGTTTCAATGCTGGGCCTGTGGAGCCAGAACCCACACTCCAGAACTGCTAGAGTGTAGTCTGCTGAGTGAAGGAGTGAATGAATGAATGAGTCAGTATTTACAATCTCCATTCATGTCTGTCTGCCAAGATACCATATGTTAGTGATGGGCTTAGGGTGGGTCTTAAATGTAAACCCTGAAGGGCTGGTAATGAGATTGAATGGAGAAATGAGGGGCTGCCCTGCAACATTATCCATGAGAGAGATTATCCCCAGACGAGGGCCAGCACATCAGCTCAGGGCCAAATGGGCCTCTGACTATAACAGACTCCCCCAGAGCCAAGTCCAACTACTGCAGGCCATAGGGAAGCCCTGGCCCTGAGCCAGGACACTAGTGGCTGGCTGAACTCAGTCCCTAGCTCCAGGCCTGTCCTCTTTCACCCTTGTAGTTATTTAGTCCTTTAGTGCATATCCTCAGAGAAGAGCAATGGCAACCCACCCCAGTACCCTTGCCTGGAAAATCCCATGGACGGAGGAGCCTGGTGGGCTACAGACCATGGGGTCGCAACGAGTCGGACACGACTGAGTGACTTCACTTTCACTTTTCACTTTCATGCATTGGAGAAGGAAATGGCAACCCACTCCAGTGTTCTTGCCTGGAGAATCCCAGGGACAGCGGAGCCTGGTGGGCTGCTGTCTATGGGGTCGCACAGAGTCGGACATGACTGAAGCGACTTAGCGGCAGCAGCAGCAGCAGCAGCAGCAGCAGCAGTGCATGTCCACTCTGTGCCATGCTCTGTGCCCACAGAAGGAAATCAGAGTCAGTCCCTCAAGCAGCTCCTGCTCTGGGAGGGGGGTGGGGAGCAAGACAGACCTGGACATTCGAGACATAAGTGGACTCAAGGACATGATGTTTGCATCAGTACCACAAGGGAGGGGACAAAGACATGCTGTCTTCATTCGGAGGAGAGAGGGGTCACTTACAGCTAGGAGAAATAAGGAAAGGTTACCTGGAGGAGAGGGCACTGGAAAATGAAGAAGATTTGGAGATGGGGGCAGAGGTGCCAGGCAGTGGGACACCAAAAGCCAACAGGGAGGCCGAGAGGCTGGAAAGTGTGGGGACACTGTGGTGCTTAATGTGGTCAGAGCTCAGGTCATATTTGAGGTTGGGTGACATGTGGGGCAGAAGGGATGGACTAAGCTCAGGTGTGGGAGTGGCCTTGAGTGCCAACCCGAGGAGGACATAGAGGAGGGTAGGGTTTAACAACACATCTGGTAGGATTTGCTGGAAGTCTGAAAAGGGAAAAGTAAACATTCCTTAGGTCTGAGAATATCAAAGTGAACAAAGTATATAGGGAAGTAGTATTTGTAAGAGCAAAAACATGGGGCCATCTTAAATCACTGAGGCAGATTAGATTCAAAGTTACAACCTATCCATGCAATAGGGTTCTATGAAGCCATTAGAAGTGATGGTTTCATTGGAAATGTGTTCCTATTTAATGTCAAGTGGGGAAAGCAAAGAATGAGAGAGTTTGTCTCTCTGCGGGGTGCCCTGGAGCTTCTGTGGTCCAGATAAACATAGATGTGCTTGAGGGATTGTGCAGGAGAGGGGTGTAGGTGAAAATCAGATCCCAGAAAGAAGCAAGGGGCCCCTCAGTAGGTCACTCCGAGGAAAAAGACGTCTCACCCGGGGTTAGTGCCCTCTCAGGAACAGACCAGATGTGGTAAGAAAGGGAGTGCCAGTTCTAGATCCAGCCAAAGGGACACCTGACACGGGGGCTCTGGAGAGGAGAAGGCTAATGAATAAAATGGAAAGAATACGTTCACCCGGGACCCAAGCGGTTCCGCTCTGGAGCCGCTCTCCCAGCCCCCACCCAGCATGGAAAAGCTTTCCCTACTGGCTGAGGAGAAGTGGGAACAGCAGTGGTGAACTGCTGACACTATGACAGAGCAGACCTTCTCCTTCCCTCCCCAGGCTGACACTATGACAGAGCAGACCTTCTCCTCCCCTCCCCAGGCTGACGGTATATCGGAGAAGACCCTCCTGTCCCCTCCCCAGGCTGACAGTATATCGGAGAAGACCCTCCTCTCCCCTCCCCAGGCTGACACTATGACAGAGCAGACCTTCGCCTCCCCTCCCCAGGCTGACAGTATGACAGAGCAGACCTTCTCCTTCCCTCCCCAGGCTGACGGTATATCGGAGAAGACCCTCCTCTCCCCTCCCCAGGCTGGTGTTAGCAGTACTGGGGTGACCACAAGTGATGGCAGAGGCCGAGGAGAACAGGAGCTGAGTGCAGAAGGGCCTGGATTTCACAGGAGACAGCGGCCACTCCTGGAACTCACAGTCACAGGAAAGGAAGTTCAAAGTCCCGCCATTCAGCTGGAGGGGGCTCTTTGAAGTGTAGGCTGGGGCCAAGCCGTTAGTTAAAGTGGCCTTTCTGAGAACCTACAAGCTGGGGTGGGGTGGCCTGCACGGAGTGTTAGGTCACATGGTCATGCACAGGGAAAAAACAAGAAAATTTACCAGTAGCTGTCTTTGGGTGGTGGGATTATAGTCAATTTCTGTTCTGTTTTTATTGTTTTTCCACATTCTCTATTATTTCTAGAATGAGCATGTCTTACTTGTGCAATGAAAAACACAACCGCAAGTAGCAGTAGCCACAGAGACCATGATTTGTCTGGACCTTAACTGTCCCCAAACACCTGAACATCTACCTCATTGGATCCTTAATCTCCTGTGTCAGTATTGCCTGATGGGATGATAAGGTGAACCACCCTGTAATGTAAAATTTTTTTGCAGTCACAGTAAAAAAAAAAAAAAGAAACAAGTGATGTTCATTTTTGGTGGAATTAACTTTAATATTTTAATCCAGTATATCCAAAATATTATCATTTCAATGTGTAATCAATAGAAAAAGCTTATAAAGACTACTTCTGGTTTTAAATTTTTTAATTTAAATCAATTAAAAACAAGTTTAGTTTTTCTGTTGCACTTATCCACATTTCAAAGGTTCACCAGGCACTTACGACTAGGGACTGCCTTATTGGGCTGCATAGTTTAAGTTACAGATGAGAAAAATAAGGGGGTGGAGACGATTGACCAAGCTGCCCAGATGGTCAGTTGTAGAATTAAAATTGGGACAGGGGTTTGGGGTTCAACCCTGTGGGGTTTCCCTTCTTCCACACTGACTCGCCATGGTACAGATCTGGTTTAACTCCTATGGAAGTATAAGGCCTTCCAGATTTGGCTAATCATAATTCTAGTGTGATTCAGTCCATGTAATACCTCTTTAGTTCAGCTCTCAGAGTTCATGACCTGTCCCTTGGCCACTGCCCTCAGAGTTGTGGTAGTGAGCTCCCCATCTTTGGAGGTATCCAAGTGGAGGCTGGGTGGCCACCTGTTGGAATGCTAGATCAAGGCTTCCAGACTTAGTGGGAGATTCCATGAGGTTGACTTCAAATGTTCCTTCTGGCTCTGTGATTTATAGGTAGGGAAGACTCGGTAAAATTGCCTTCCCAACTCCCAGAATAGGGGTGCTCCTGGGAACCCCCCACATCCTCAAGGGCCCTGGGAAGAGCTTCAGGAAGCCCAAAAGTCTGGGACTCCCTCCTCAGCCATCTGGCCACCCCGCTGGGCCCGGGATTGTGTTTCAGGAGACTGATGTGATTGGGGAGCTGACTGGCCCCTGG